GTACTCTTTGAACAGTTTAAGAGCTCTCCAATCTCTCCAAAAGAGATTTTTTTTTTTTCTCAGAGCAACTATTTGCCCTTTCTCAAACTCTGTAAGGTAGCCTGTCTTGTGTGGAGGCATCGTGGTTGAGGGGTAGTTGATTGTAGGAGTGGGGTGTTTTGAGGTATCGCGCGGTAACCACCGATCATACGGATCCTTTTGGCCTAGTACTTTAAATACCGGTACACTTGGACAATGCGGTTTTTAGTAAAAATAAGGGTTAGTGAGGTTGAAGAAGTGATATTGTATGAACCAAGCTGACAAATATGAGGAGGTATATTCTCTGGGCAAAAGGAATTGCAGTTTTGAAAGAACTTTTGCCGGTATTATAGGAGGCATCACAAAAGCTGTTCTATTAGGTTACTGGTTACTTGATACGGGCTTGTGCATAACTGTATCTATAATTATCGTAGAAAATTGTTATGATAAGATAAAGTGGTTGCAATAGCAGCCGAAGGAAGGGTTAGGGGGACTAGCTCATGCGCAGTCAGAGGGCGGCGGGATGCGGGGGGCTACCGGTATACAGTAGCACGTGCTAGAGCGAAAATGCCGGGATTGGGGCTAGCGCAGAAGATTAAAAATGAAGGAACAGTGACATCAAAGAAGTAAAGAAAGGACAAGGAGAAGATCCTGAGCGCAAAAGAATGCCAGAGGTGGAAGTAGTTCTGAAGGGCGAAGGGGAGGGTGGTATTGCCGTTCCGAGATCCCAAGCGGCTATACGACTATCTCCTCCAGCCCTGTAATCTCCGGATTCTGAGTCGAAGGCTACTGAGAAGGACTAGCAGCTTCTCCAGGCGATAAAGTCTGAGCGTCTAGTGTGTGTTGGATCTCATTAACCGGTATTCGCAAAGCTGTTAGTCTGCCGGACTGAACCTATCGTAAGTGAACGGGAGATTAGCCCCTGCTAACCCAGGTAGTGGATTTCAAGATTTTTTAGGGTACGGTACTGCGGGTTCGGATTTTCGAGATTAACTTGTAGCCATCAGAAGCACAACGACGCCTCACCTGCAGGCTTTGGGTGTAATGGGAACTTTGCACAGCGGGCTCGATGGGACTTGCAAAGGGTACCGGCATAGGTATGGGTCTGGATCTAACATTTGGGTGGGCGGGCTATCGAGAAGGTTAGAACGTCATATGATCCTCTGCCCGGTCCTTCGGGGAGAGACGGGAAGAGGGGTAACTAAAAGAGTAGACTAGTGTTCGAATAATACGGTACGTTACCCCTTCGTTCGTTCCCGAGTTTCACGACCTTTTAGCGCGTAACTTGTCCTCTGATCTTCAAAAACTAGGCTCATGAAAGGATAGCTGCGGTTGCTCAATGGTGACCTGGCCAATGGAATTTGTGACTCCCAAGGAGTCAATTAATCTTTCCCTCAAGTAGCGAGACTATCGCCCTATTCGTCTTGGGCATGAGGTCCTGAATACAGATGAAGGGACAGTACTGGTACCTTACACCATTGATACCGTACGGTAAATTACGGTAAAAATACAGTACGATAAGAAGATAAGATGCGGTAGAACGGCATTCCCCTTAGATGTTGAGTAAACCTTTTTTCCATCCTGTGAGTTATGTTTATGTTAGGAATCGTTAGCAAAAATGTGTGAGTGCCAACACCCAAGTTTTTTTCATGGCGATCGGCTCGGGGAGCCTGGAAAGTTTACCGTACGTTGCCGTACGTTACGTATCGTATAAATGGCATCCTACCGTAAGCTTGCTTTTCGAACCCTACGAGTACCAAAGAGCCAGTGATAACAAAATATGAGAGCAGCACACCATATTTGAATGAGGTACCGGTATGGTCTCGAGGGCGAGAGGGTGGCGGTAGGGTGATAAAGAAGAGGTCTGATGCAGTCTAACGATAAGAGGGACTAGCTGTGGAGAGGGACAAATTTTGTGTGATAAATTTATGAAAGGCAGATTAACGCTAATGTTGAGAAATGGTCCTCTGAGTGAGATACGAGAGATTCTCTTGTTGTTTCCTACTCACTATTGCGTATATGGAAATGTGCGTGGAGGCATGGTAATCCACATCATGGCTTGCGTCATCAGCATGGTATATATATATACCGTTCCTGTTCCCTTAGCTAGAGTGAGAACCGAATCAACGATCTTCCGCTGCACCTCAAACAGTTCCTATTTTCAACAGCTAAATCTAGCGTTCCGATGAGTGATACTTGATGATTCGCTCAACCTGCCAGGAGTTCAGATTTCTGTTGATGGCGATATCGCTATCATGGGTGGGGATATTTGGTGGCTATGGTAACTTACCGTGGTTTACACCCTGTGCTTTGCTGGGTAATATTTGAAAACTCCTGATTGTGAGTTCTCTCTTTATTGTGCAGTCTGCCGCTCACCCTGGGGCTGGCGGAGGGCTTGAGCAGGGCGGGAGATGTTATGGGAAACCTTTAACTGCCATAGAACTGATTTCAATCAATCACCTCTAGATAAGGGATAAGCGGAGAAGAAATCTGCCCCGGTGTGGTCGGGGGAGGGAGAGGAAAAAAGCTGCTGGGATCGAAGAAGGTTAAATACGCCTCGTATGCAGGTGTTCGGGTAGGTGGTAGGTAGGTAGATTAAGGGATCGTCGTGATGTTATTTTTGTCAGGGGTTTCACTATTGGTATATCCTCGATGCGCTCCGGTTCTACCAATACTGTGGGCGTATGGGGGGGGGGGGGGGTTGGTGCTAAGGAGGGGAGGAACGAGTCTCAGTATAGGCACCTTGGGGGAGATGTTGGTATATCGTGAGCTGCATACATAAAACATACAGGCGGGTAGTGTCCTGGGAGATGAGGAGACGAAATCACGGTGTGTCACTCTGCTTGGGTCTGAATTTATTTCCGAGAAAGCGAGAAAGAGACTTGATTTTTCTACCGCATGAGCAGGCGCGGGCTCATATCCTTGGGCTAAAAGAATACAGAAGAGAAAAAGGATAAATGAAAACTGAGATTGGCATCATATGAGCGCCTCGGGGGTAGGGGGGGCTTGAAGAAATTGATGGGCGAGAGAGCATCTGGGGGGCTCGGAAGGGCAATGAACGACAAACGATGAGGAAGGGGCACACCGCAGTTGTGTATGGTATGGCTTTGAAGAACAGTGACGGAATGGGAAAAGTCAAATTGGAGTCCCCCGATGAAGAGAGTGATACCCTTTAGGAGGTTGTGAACATGCAGCTTCTGATGAATGAAGGGGCCACTGCGCCCCACAGGCACCGGGTGGAGGGCGAAGTTGTATTATATGCGGTATGCCCAAGTGTGTGCGGGAGTGGGGGTTGGTGTGTGGAGAAGAGCTAATTAGCGGTATTTGGGAAGCCGAAGTAAGATTTGGTCCAGTCAGGGGTATCGTATCGGACTGGATGCGGAAGAGATATGCTGCGAAGAAGGGTTCAGTGGAGAAGGATGGTCAGAGTGCGGGGCATAAAGGACGGGGGAGATAAAAGGCGAAGAAGGCGAATAAAGGATGAATATGGGCTTTCCAAACATCTCTTCACCTTTGTTCCCACCCCTGTAGGTGGTAATTTACGGTGCTTAATACTAGAGCAAAAAAGTAGCCTACTATTTGATCAAACAATAACTATCACAGCACTGTTTACACTATACACACCAAGCTATATTGATGTTCACAATCGTCTAAAATTGGACCACCCATGACCCATAATACCCTATCACAGTCCCTCCCCCTTAGCAATTAGTTCCGCTCCCATTTGTCACAGCACAAACTTTTGTATCTTCCTACTGGCAGTCTTGGGGCAGGAGTCCACCCAGAAAATTTTTTGGGACTATTATTATATTCCCTTTAGCCCTAGTATTCCTCAGGCGTTACCTAGGTGTATGTTATAGCATATCCAAATGATGTGACAGCTTCTCGCAAATCCACTCCTGGACCTCATTCGCTGCCAAATCCCGCTCCTTCCTGACACATGCTACAACAACCCCTCTGTATCATTTGTCCTTGAGCCCTACAAATGAAGACAATGTGTGGATGGGCAAGTAGGTAAGTTAATTTTCAATCTCAAGATGGTGGTTTGAGGATTAGCCCATACCAAGGTTCAATTGTGTATGGTATGGTACTATCTTAATAACTCTGTATGAAAATATGATGCGGTAGAAAGAGTATACTGCAGGCATGCTAAGTGAGGAGGAATTTTGTATAAAGGTAGATTGGTAGTAGTTTTTGTTCTTAATTCTCTTAGGCATGATGGGTGGTAACCCCTATTTATACAGGTGCATATCCTTTGTATAATTAAGAGGAAATGGAAGGAAAAACATAAGTGTTGACATGTTTGACCATAACACAAGTAGGAAAAACATAAGTGTGAATATGTTTGACCTTGAAGAACTGCCAAGAAAATCCCATAAAACAAGCATAAATCTAAGATGGTGTGAGTGGATAATTAGAACATAATTGTAAATCAAATGACTGATGACCATGCATGATGATGCATAAAATGTAAGAAATAATCATGGACACCAGATAGGAAAACACATAATAATCCCCTAATCATATCATGAAATATTAATAAAATATATGTAATACATACTCCAGCAGTAGTAATGTTTGTAGTCTAGAAATATACTAAGTAGAGGAATATACCATATTATCAAGGTAGAATATACATAT